TCTTGATATCCCCAATGTGTCTTTCACCTGCCAACACTTACCTGCCACCTCATTCCATTTTGCTAAAATGCTAGAGTTTGAAAGTCATAACATTCTATTTCCTGCTCTTTCCTCGGATATGCAAACAATGGTGCAAGAAATCAGGACAGAGACTACTGATGGGTCCATTGTCCGTTCCGTTCACCTTTGCGCTCTCAAAATGTCTCCATTTTGAGGTAGGAGAGGTGGGGGTTGGGGGGCATTCAGTTTTCTGTAAGACCTCAGACCATATCATATATCTTTCCATTAGATTCCAATACCAAGAGTATTTGGTCTTTGGGAAATTCAGAAAATTGAAGGCTTTCTTCTTTTTAACCTTCTGAATGTGGCCAGTTCCATCTCTGCCCTGGCCCACCATGCTTGGGATGTACAGTAGCCACTAAATCAGAAGGACAAAGGAATGTTCCATTCAGCTCCTTGGGATTCTCCTTTCAGATCTCACATCGGTAGCTACACAGGGCAGGTGCAAACTGCTACAAACTCTTCATTTTCCTGCGATGCTGCTACACACAAGATTTGAGAGTGAGAGCCTTGGAGTCTTCATTGCCTCTCATGCTAAAGAAGCAATCTATCAGTCGAAAGAAAGGATGTATACAATGACACTTCTAATAAATTAAAAGCTGAAAGCCTTTTGTCCCTTGCTGCCCAAGAACAGGGATTGGTTCTATAAATTTGACAATATCCACATAGCAAATTTTAGGCAGTTTAGGTCAAGATTGGAATTCCTAAAGAATTTCTAAAATGGCTAAAACTTCACAAATTTCTTTCCTTCCCCAGTTTCTTTCTTCAGAGATTTGACGTTTTCATTCAGAGGTCTGTTACTGCCTTTGCTAGGTTTATTCCTGGATGTTGGTGTGGCTCTGGTGCATGATAGTGTTTCCATAGTCTCTTCCTCATTGTTTGTTATTGGTATACAGAAAGGTTTTGTAAGTCCATTTTGTATCCAGCCACTTTGATGAAAGTATTAGTTACTTCTGGAAGTTCTCCTGTAGAATTTTTAGGATGGTCTCCTGCGAATAGGGATAATTCAACTTCTGGTCCTATTTGTATCCTGTTAACTCTCTTCTCCTACCTATCATCGTCCCATTTCAGCAGGAAGTAATCTTAAGATAACGACTCCCCCTTTCCCCACTCTTGGAATTTAGGGATAATATTCACCTTCTTAGGGTTGGTTTTAGTAACTTAGGGTTGGGTATGGAAGGTGATGCTTAGACTTGGGTATCTCTTTTAGACAGGAATAGGGTATAGTTGGGAAAGGTATGGTTTAGATGGGATATAGGTAGATTAGCCTATCTTCTTGTGAATTATTTTACTATAGTGAGATATTAGTATTATACAGCCTACATTGTTATATATTCTTATTTTTGGTAACCTATGTAAAATTAATTTTATATTCCTATCCCAGAAGAATTGTATATGACATTTTTGTTATATTGTGTAAAATCTTTCCATTTATGATGTTTTATGAACATTATCCTTACCATATTCTAAGTATGTATAATTTTACTTATGTTCAAGACATTTTGTATATTTATACAATTTAGGATATTTTTTTTATCATGCTACCCTTTATAGTTCTACTTCTTGTCTATACATTTCTACTAGACATTTCTACTCTACCTCTGCTTTAGGGATTTACATGTATATATACACGTACATAGTTATATTGCTTAGGTATTTGTCCCTGCTTTACTCAGGGAAGTTTCATTCAGTTTTTTAGCTAGGTTCCTGAGTATTACAGATTATCTTCACCCAGGTTTCCTTTACTTATAAGATTAGTCAGACATAAATGCTTAATCTTCGATCACTTCATAGACCTGCAAAACATAGTATTTAAATGTTTTAATATTAGTACTCCGTTGACATGAGACACCATTGATCCTGACAGCACTGTGCACTTTCACGAAAACATGTTGGACATTGTTGTAGCTCCTTCTGGAATCCATCCTCGCTTCGGCTAATGGCCTCTTGGGCAAAGAACTGCCCCCACCTTGACCACTGATTTGGACATGTGGCCCTATGTGCTTGCAGAAGACAAACATAGAAGACTACTGAACCTTGCCAAGTCATGGTAAGACAGCCTTTCTAACTCCCTGCTGTTGTTGTGGTCTGTCAGATACTCTAGGCCTTAGCCAAAACTGGCTGTACCAACATTGCTGTGAGACCTTGGGTGATTGTCCAGGTAGCATGCTGTTTCTGTCCTTGCTGCACCTTTTGGAAGTTGCCCATCTGCAACTTCCTGTCTACCCTAGTATTGTTATTTTCCTTCTCAGGTCTTGATGAGGTTGAAGATTAAACTATCACAACTATTATTCTCTCTTCCTAGTTAGATATGTTAGGTACTAGACTTTCCAGCTTAGGACAACTCTATTGTAAACTCTGTTATGCCTTCACCCTAGGACTAGATATGTTGGTTGTTTTGTTCTCAATTTTCCTTTTCTTAGAGCACACTTGTTATTCACTGTTTTATATATAGTTTTGAATCAAGCCTAAATCTCTTATTTAGACTAAAAGGGGAATTGTAGTGTGTCTGTTTCTGTGGCACTGACCATGCCCATTGGGGGTGGAGCCAGGGGCGGAAGTGACCTGTGGAACTAGGCCTGGGAAAGCTCTCTTGCTCGCGGTACACAGAGAGGAGAGCATCCGGTAGAACCTGCTGGTGTTCGTCTGCCTAGGTTGTAAGTTAACTCTCCCTGAATAAACATTTGTTCGGCCTATTTGTTTATCCTGATCCTTATTAAATGGCGATAAGCTGCTCTAGCTGGAACTTTGAACAGTGTGTTGAATTGCACAGCCCCATTTTGTTTCTGGTCTTAATAAGATTACTTCAAGTCTTTCTCCATTTAGGATGATATGGGATGATTGTCATATATAGCCTTTATGTTGAGATATGGTCTCTCCATTCCTATTTTCTCTAGGACTTTTATCATATAAAATCTTTTAAATCATTGAAAAAAAATACCTTTGAGCCAGGCATTGGTAGTGCACACCTTTAGTCCCAGCACTAGGGAGACAGAGGCAGGCTTATCTCTGGGAGTTCGAGGTCAGCCTGGTCTACAGAGCTAGTAGTTCCAGGACAGGCTCCAAAGCACTAAGGAGAAACCCTGTCTCGAAAAACAAACAAACAAACAAAAACAACAAAACAAAACTTTGAAAGTGTTTAACATGCTTAACAATCAAGAAAAGCAACTGATAACTACTCTGGGATTTCATTGGACCCCAGTCAGAAGGGCTAAGATAAAACAACTGTCAGTAAGGCGGTCAACTCTGGCAAGGATGGAGACAGAGGAACCCTCATTCCCTGTTGGACCATTGGTGGAAATGAAAACTGGTGCAATCACTACAAAAATCTGTGTGGAGAATTCTCAAAAACTAAAATCAGATCCATCTTATGGCCAAGTTATGCCACACCTTGGCATATATGTATGAACTCAACATCCTACTACAGAGAGAGATGTGTTTGACCGTGTGTGTTGCAGCTCTATTCACAAGATGCAGGAAATAAAAGCGAAAGGATAATGAGAATGTGGTACAAACACAACAGAATTCTTTTCAGATGTAAAGCAAAGTGTAATCATGCCATTTGCAGGTAAATGGATAGAACTGGGAAATACTGTACTGAGTGAGGTAGCCCAGAGCCAGAAAGACAAACTGTGTGTTTTCTTATTTACAGATCATAGCTCCAAATCTGTAGCTTTGAATATATAACCTGGAGTAACCGTGGAAGCCAGGAAAGTAGACAATGACCTTGAGGAGAAGGGGTTGGAGAACGAGTTCTAGGAAGGGTATTAGTAGATCACAAGTGTTTGGGGGTGGAAGGTGGGAAAATTCAGACAGGACTTATCTGGATGTAGGGAAAGAAAGGTAAGGGAAAAAGAAAGATCAATAACAGTGAGGATGTTTGAAGACCACAGGGAAACACTTTGTGTTTATTTAAAAATATATACAGATGATGTCAGGGATTTTGTTGTTTGAATTCTAATTGTTTATTTATTATTACCCTACAGGTTTTACTTGCATGTTATCGCTCTGAGTTTTGAATTTAAATGGATTTCTGAGTGTGTGTCTATCTGTATGTGTTTCTTGGATTCTTTACTTCTGTTTGTTTTGTCCTATTCCAATTTGTTTTGTTTTATCTCATTATATTTTACGATCATCCCGTAGATGCCTGTTTGTTTTCTAACAAGAGACAGAACAGGTATGGATCCAGATGTGACGGGAGGTGAGCAAGAGCTAGGAGCAGATAAAGAAAACAGTAATCAGGGAGAAAAGGAAATCTATTTTCAATAAAAGGGAAGAAGAAATGCTATTTTCACTTTACACACCCACCCACACACAGAGGAGAACATATATAACTTACATTTTTAAGTATTCTTGAACTACGGCATCATGCTAAGCCCCAAACAAACCTGTGTTCACAGTGTGATCATAACTATGTAGGGTTAGTACAGAAAAGAAAAACAGGCACATACACACCGTGACTGCTATTGTTCTTTGTAACTTTGACAGGCTCTAGAGTCACCTGGAGGTGGGCTCTGTGCATGCCTATGGGGGTGTCTTGATTACTCTGTTTGATGTGCAAAGACACACCTCAATGGTGAGCCGGACTGTTCCATTCCCGAAGCGGAGCAGGGGGAGGTTGGGGGGGGGGGAGCTGGACTGTGTAAATGGAGAGTGTGGCATGAAAATGTACTGTACTGTCTGTCTCTTGGTCTTTATCTTTCCTTCAGCCCCCCCCTCTTTTGTTATAAACATTTCCCATTGTTAATATCAAATAAAATACTCAAAACTTTAGATACAGACAAAAAAAAAAGTACTCGTGGAGCAGTTGCGGGAGAACTATGCTTGGCTGTCTGTCGTGGGTCTTCCCAGGGAATCTACACCATTCCCTGTCCCATTGGAGAGAGATATTACTGTAGAGAAGCAATGATAAGAATCTAATCTTACCTGCTCTTTTACAGCACACAACTGTTTTACCCTTCATATTAATCGAGATGAGGACATCCCACCATCAGTACCCCAGCAGGAGCAGCGGGCTCGCCGCCATATGCACCTTCTCCGTGGCCTACATATTATGGTAAGGACCGATTCTGCACCGCTCAATGTGGGCACAGACTGCATTGTGGATATAATCACTAACAGACTCATGCTGTGTGCCTCATTTGGTCCAAGACCTGGCCTTTGTCTTGTTTCACCAGATGCTTATATTTTTAGAAATATATGCCAAACCTCACACAGCAGGAATTTGTTGAACAATCCCATGTAAGCACTGCGCCTTCCAGGGCTACGTTTTTCAACTTGTTTTCAAACTAAATGTTTTTCTTGGACTCTAGTTTTATAGCTTAAAGGCTTTTTCTTTTGCTGGAGATTTTTGTTGTTGTTGTTGTTGTTGTTGTTATTGGTTGGGGGAGTGAGGGTTGCACCAACCAACGTAAGTGAAAATGTACATTTTTGTGGACCTACTTAAAACCTGTTCAAAAATGATCTATTATCGGTAGAATGCATGCAGCTTACTTGTATTTGGATATTGGGGTAAATGAACCATATGAGATCTGCATGTGATCGGCTGGGCACACTGAAGTTCCAAGCATGTAGCACCGAATTTAAGAATTTTTGCTTCAGTGTTTGTCATGGTTCAACACTTTGATGTACTCATTTATTTAAAACCGAGAATTTTTTAATTTCTCTTTATAATTCCAAGTCCTCTTTGATGTACTGGCTCAGAAAGAGGGGATTCTTCCTGTGAGTATCTCTTCCTCTTGAGATTCTTTTGTCCTGGGTTCTAGAATCACCATCCCCTCTTTTCGGCCTGGAGCCCTGGATAACATTCTTCCAAATACCTCACAATGGTGTTTAACCCAGCTCAGACCCTAAGCTCTCTCAGAGGCCCAGTCTCCATGGAGCATTTCTTTCCAGCCAGTCTAGAACTCTTGAAGAGAGTAGTCAGGATAGGACTTCACACACACCATATTAACAATAACAGGATATCCCAGACCTGAGGAGAAAGAACATTGACCACCAGGGAAAAATAACATATGTCTGGATATAAGTGATAGAGTACAGACCTCGGAATAAGCAGGCAGTAGAGTTCACTTCTGCCTTTGGGCAGACCACCAGCTAGTGAGAGGCTATTTGTGAGGACTTGGGAAGTTTGTTTTCTTACTTACTTTATAGTTGGGGGTGTTTGTTTATTTATTTCCTGCCCAGAATCTTAAATACTGACTTTCTCTGATAGAAAAAGTCCAAGAGATTTATCCCGCTGATGATATGTAAACAAATGATGTTGTATCTTAGATATGAACTTGACATTCAAAGACTGTTAGCTGTCAGAGGAATTGAATGTGGAGATACTCAGTGATTCAGGAGTGGTATCTGGGACTGCCTTTGGCCTTCATGGCCAGCTCTCTTCCCCAGCAGCCATCCCACAAGATCATCACCACACTGCAGTGGCTTACATGACGGGCAGGGACGCTCTCTCTGGGAGCTGTGGTGGATTTCTGAGAATGTATTCATGTGCTGTGAAAGGACCCTGTGGAGCCTGGAGGTCTCGCGAACTGTGTTCTTTCTGCTGGCTTTTCTCCCGTTGGGTATACAATCAGCCTGAGTTCCAAAGAAGCACATGGGAAATACCGCACAGGCCTCATTGTAGACCCCCAAGATCCCTCGTTAAAATGAAGCATTACTCATGTTCCCTGTGCCAAGTGAGGCTTGCCAGCCCCGTGTACTCCCTCGGCAAACCAGTACTTGTTTAGACATGTCCTTGCATTAACCAGCAAATTCCCTCAGATTTGTTCAGAGAGAGCTTTCAAAGTAGATCCACCCCCCTTTGGTGTTCTGCCCTAGGCATTTATGTAGCTCTGCCAAGAGCTAAACAATGCCCCTCGAGTCATGTCACATTGTATAAATCCGAGGGTTTAATTATTGTCAAAAACGGTACTAGCTTTTGGTCTCTTCCAGACTGTCCTGGAGCCCAGCATACCAGTGACACACGCAGTGATTCAGGAAATGAAATCTTATGATAGCATACCAGTGTTGTATCCGAACATTCCAGAACCTCACCCTCATGCCAAGATGGGGGAAACCATTCCTCTTATCATGTTCTAATTATAAAACAAATGGGCCTTCTTCACAATGCTGAGTGTGGCAAGTTGACTGTACCTCAGGGCTGCTGGCCAGGCTGTCTGGCTACGCTTGTTGGACTCTGGCTCTCCAGAGTCTTCTTTTCCATCTTGTACTATTCTCCCCCAGTTTTGTTGAGAAAATGGGGAAGCGATACCTTCACTGGCTGGCACCACTATGCATATATTTCTCCCAACCCCACGGGGGTCTTCTCCAAGTTTCGCCTCCCAAGGCCACTCTGGACTCCTCATTAGCATTTCTGCCTGCCCGCTGAGCTTCTCTCTCCTCTGCTCAAGGGTTGGAGACACAAGCATCCTCCTGCCCATTGCTGAGGAGTTCTCAACTCCTTTCTTCGACCCCTCCTAGACGTGTCTCTGTTCCCTTTTGTAAGATGCTGAACTTGCCGGGGGGAGGGGGGAAGGATGGGGGGGGGGTTGGTCTTCAGCAGAACCACAGAGACAGACACCATGCGTGTGTTTATTCAAATACTCTCTTAATTCCTTCAGATAACTCCACAACATAGGCATTTCTTACCCATTTCACAGACAAGGAATGAAAGCTCACAGAGGATTCTTCGCTCACCTAAGACAAACTTAGAGCCTATTGCCAAAACAATACTGCAAGCCAAGGTACATGGTTCGGAGTCCACACCATGAATTATGTCCTCTGCTGGATGCATTTATTATGTGAGTTTTTTCTTCGCTGTGTGCTTTAAAAATATCAAATGCAGCCAAGTCTGGGAATTAAGCCCCTTTTCTGAATTAGGGCCCACTCCTCTGCTTCACCCTTTTGGACCCCAGCTTCTTTGAATTGAAATTATGGAAGAGGGTGGTAATAGGGAGACACAGGAGCTGGGGAACCCCATGCTTTAATGTAGCTCTGAGAACAAGGCCACCATCACAGTAAAATCTTTCTCTGCTTGCCGCAGTCAGTTGTCAAAAGCCCCCATGACAAACAGCAGTAAAAGCTCCTAAATGTTTTCTTCTTGAGGGCTTGGGAATTGGAGTTAGGGCGTTAAGCTATCTCCACCTCTGCAATTCACAATCCTCATTCACACAGCCTTCATTTCAGAAATCCAAAACAACTCCAGGGGACATGAAAATATCATTTTGATTGTCTCTTGTCTCACAGCCCTGATGGTTTTAGACAGATTCCATATTCCAAATCTCATTATCCCGAATGTGTTCATTAAACAACTTCCCAACATAAGAAAAGTAAATAAATAAAGTAAGATCAGAATGCAGCGTGATTTCCCTTTTATGGTACAATTCCACATGGTTCCAGATCTGAATTCTACGTCCCACCAAACTCATCGCAGCCACAGAATCCTGGGCTACGAGTTGTTCTCTTATTGGCACCTGCCTGTATTTTCTCAAGCTCGTGATGAAAACACATTTCTCTTTATATGCATCGTCTTCAAACACACAGAAGATTTTCTTGACAAAAAAAAAAAAAATGTACTCGAAAACATAATATTCTTAGACATGAGAGAAAAATTGAAAGAAAATGGAATTTCAGATCCCATGATGTTTCCTCACCAGTCGAACAAATATGGCCAATATGGAGTTGTTCTTTGACCAGAAGATTGTGTTTTTCCCTGCTCAACCTCAACAGTTCCTTCCATCGTTAGCAGCCTTTCCTGTTGACCTTTATGTATTTCATAGTCTTTGAGGGTTTCTTTCCCCCCTGATTTTCCGATATTGCAGAACTGGGTCCAAGCACAAAGAGTTGGGTTATAAGTGCCTCACATTCTGGAGCGAGATACCTCTTCTGGGGCTTGTGAGGGAGTAGGAGTAGGGATAGCCAAGGACTCTCCTTCCTTCCCCATCACCAAACAGCCCACTCTTCACCATAATGCTCAGCATCTCCCCAGCCTAGCTGGGAAAGGGGGGGGAGTGTCATTGCTAACTGAGTTTGAGTTCTGGGGAGCCTTCCAAAAAGGAAGAACTTCCACACGCTCACTGAAGAAAAAGCATGAGAGAATCCCTGGGAAATGGGGCTGAGGCTGGAATCTGATCTAGGAGCCTTCCTTGTTTGTCACACTGGAGCCAGGAAGGACATGGCGGCAGAGGGGAGGGGCAGCCATGACATGGCCTTCATGAGCCCAGAGGGACATGGCACGTGAGGGGAGGGTAGGCACAGCCAAAAGACAACCATTGTTCTCCTGTTTGTGTACAAGACATGGGTAAGCTTCATGGGAATCTGGCTAACAGAGGAAAGTTTGGCACTGACGTGTCTCAGTGGCCCAGTGACAAGTGAACCCTCAAGGCAAGAAATTTCCCAAGAGCAAGTGAGTGTGTGTGTGTGTGTGTGTGTGTGTGTGTGCGCGCGCGTGCGCGCGCGCGCGCGCACGCGCTGCCACAGTCAGAGGTCAAGGGAACCAGCCATGTCTCCTTGTGGTCCTCAGTGCTCCCAGGAAGGAAAAAGATGGAGGTAGTCAGTCAGGATTTCCATGAGAAATGAAGGGCTGGGAAGATGACTCAGTGGCTAAGAAGGGACACTTGCTTTGTAATTATGAGCACTTGAGTTAGAATTCTGAACACACACATGCAAAGCTATGCATATCCATCCCCACAGGCCTCAAACCTCAGCACTGACAGGTAGCAGCAGGAAGATCCTGACAAGTTGCTAGCTAGCCAACCTATGCAGAATGACGAACCTCCAGTTCAAAGAGCGGCCTGGGCTCAAGGCAGTAAGACGTAGAACCTGATAGAGGAAGGAAAACACCAGACACACTGTCCTAGCCTTCATTGGACATGCAAGGTAGCATACACCCCTCACACCCATGTTCATGCGTGTGCCACACACATGTATACCACACACACACACCAGAGAAAGTGGCATATATTGGCCACCACTGGCGCTCCATGCGGTAGCCATTATTGGTCTCTTTATTCTCCAAGCATGCTGAATCACTGAGGTACCTGCCTGCTTTTTCTCATTGCTCCATTCCTCAGA